GAATCCTCGTCCTCACATTCAAGTGCCTCGAAGGCCTTGCTCCTTCCTTCCTCTGTGACCTGCTAATCCCATATCAACCTGTCCATTCCGGCCTGCTCCAAGTCCCCCACCTGGCCCACCCGACCATCGGCGGTCGCGCCTTCAGCTTCTCTGAAACTCCATCCCAAAGACCCTTCATCTTGCTCCCTCCCTTGCTTCCTTCAAAGCATGTCTAGAGTCCCTCCTCTTGGACTCCGCACCATCTTAACCCTACCCTCCCTGGCCTCCAACCTTCCCGATTTCAACCCCCCACTTGGGTCCAAATCCAGTGCCTTGAGACGTCCTCCCGACGTGAAAGGCGCTATACAAATGATATTTGTTATTGTTATGTGTGTTCAGATCCCCATAATGTCATGTTCCAACTGCACAGGGCTCTGTTCAGGCAGTACATATAGTTCTGGTCATGGTGACATAAACAGGCTGCCCAAGGCCTGGAGGCAGAGCAATAGAGCTGATCTCCTTTGTTGGACGGATGAGCTATGAGCAACTAGATAAGCTAGGCTATTTAGCCTTGAAAAAGCTTCTCAGCAGGGACATTATTGAGGTACATAAGATGCTTAAAAGGATAGAAAAAGTAAACCGGGGATGATATTTTCAAAAATGCAGAGGCAAGCAGAACACAGATTCAGGTTTGAGAAGGGCAAATGTAGGACAAACATATTTTTGTAGAAGGCAGTCAATACCTTGGCAGATTACCAGGAACAGTAGTTGAAACTAGGACAATGTGCACCTTTTACAAAAGTATAATGATATACTGGAAAGACTATATCAAATGGGTCTTCATCCAAGTTTCTCTTGTGTTGTGATTTTAAATATAACTGCAGTAAGGTGCAAAATATGGGGGAAGGATAAGAAAATATTAATTGATAGCATAGATAGAATCGTCTTACAGCCCTTCGTATATCAATTGTAAATTTATGAATATTTTGGAATTTGTATTAGTTTAGAATGTGTATGTATTGTAAAATGATTTTTTTTAAAACTGAAAATTTAGGGGTCTTAATGCCAAAATTTTGTTAAGCTAAAGCTTGAGATTCCTGAAATAAAATGTTGCAGCTAATGTACAATTTAAAAATTTCTGTGTAGTTTCTCAAAATACTACTTGCATTTGATATAGCACCTCATCACATTGTGAAGACATCTCAAAGCTTCACAGGACATACTGTAAAATGGATTCACTGTATCTAAATGCAGCAGCCAGTTTGCACACAATGTCCCACAAAAAGCGACCAATTTTATTTGGGGGATTTGTTGGCCAGGACACCGGAAGAAACTCCCTTCTGTTTATGAATATCAACATGGGTTCTTTCACACCCACCTAACAGGCAGACTCTGTTTAATGTCCCATTCGAAGGACGGCATCTCCAAAAATGCAACACCCCCAAACTGCACTGGAGTGTCAGCTTAAGACTATGTGATTCTGAGTCCCAACTTGGGGCTTGAACCCACAACCTTCTGACTCAGGCGAGAGTGGTACCACTGAGTCAGGCTGACACACTCAAGTAGTGAATTGACAACTTGTCCATATTTGGTTTGTATCTGAACAATTTGTTTTTAACATTGTTGCAAGGTAATGAGGGTCTTAAACATACTCAAGCTGGGTTTAGAAATGTTCTGCGTATGTTAAAAAAAAATGGAATCTTGTTGTTAGCATTCAATGCATGATGTCCATAGTTATCAGTTGTCTCATGAATTGCATTGTCCCAATACATTATGAACTTTTAACAGTAACAGTCATATTGTTATCTCTACTGCAACAAATTTGGAGTCCATTTTATACCGGTAGACTCTTAAGAAGAGTGAAGTGCCCAAATTAATGGGGCTTATTCATAGCTTTCACTCTGTTTCACTCCGAATTTTCATGCTAATGAGGGCAAAACTTTTGCCAAGCCGAAAGGAAGAATTTATATATAAACGTGTATGAAACTTGTATGAGTCTGACTCTCTCTTGCCACTTGTACAAATTGGCACAGAAGAGAAAAACAAAATTAAAATTGGAAGAGAAGCAAAGCAAATCCTTGACACAATGGGTGACAAAAGCTCATCTTTCCGCTAAACCCCAAGTCTTGCCAGGCTCCACTGCCTCCCAGGAGATCAGTTTTCAACGTCCTCACATACAAATCCCTTCACACTGCAGCACTGCCCTATAAATTTAATCTCCTAGCCCACTCTTTATGTCCCCTTCACTCCGTTGACTCTGGTATGCTGCACGTTTCATGCCTTACTCACTACATTTTTTTTACCCTTAATCTCAGGAAATCCCCCTCTATTCCCCTTGTCATGCTCTCTTCCCCCCACCCCCCACCACCTCCTATGGTTGGTTACCCCTGTGCTCTTGTTGCCTTTCCTCTCTCACCTTTCAACCCTGCCTTTGTAAAATGCTCTGGGGTGTTATTCCATCTGGAAGTTGCTATGTAAATACAAGTTGTTGTAAATCAATATTCTGGTTGTTTTCTTTGCTTTTTCAGATTTTTGCTATCTTGTCGATCTCTGACTAAGTGTGGAGACAGTTTTTCTCCTCCCCACAAAACAAAATCAGTCAACCCATATTTCATGGGGTAAACTCCCTTTAAAACAAGCTGAGCTTTCAAATGTCTTGTGCGAATCTTTCTTAGTGAGACTAGTTAACATACCATCTGTACATTGTTAATTAGCTGTAGTAATGGTTCCTCCAGTCAACTTTTAAATGTTGGAATCCTTTCAGGAACAAACAAGCTTATGAGGAACTGCAAATCATTAATTGTTTACAATGTGGTTCATCTCAAATGCACAGAACTGGAGCAAAGGAAATGTGAATACGTATGAAATAAATATTTCACAAGTGATTTCAAACAGAATTAAATCTGGTCGCCTCCTGTCTATCTCCCACTGGGGAGAAAAGAATCCTCATCCTCCATCATGTGAAAAGGTGTTGATACTTTCCCCTTGCACATAGGAGCATGTTGATACCTGGTTTAATCTATCAGTTGACCTGAAGCAAAAAGACTGAAATAAATTCAGTCTGTAAATATCAGTTTGCAACCTAGCAGTTGGCTGTAGCTAGGTTGTTTCTGGCCTCCAAATAAATATCAGAGCTGGATGAACAGTAATGTCACATTGCCTGACAATCTGGTGCTGGTGCTGCTCTCTGCCTTCATTAATTTTATTTTGGTTTAGGCATGGTCTCTGTGGGTCTCAAGTAAATTGGAATCCACTTGGTGGGACATTGTAGAGAATCAAAACTGATCTCTAACTCTCATCTTACTAAGTAATGTGTGCCATGGTAAGAGGGGAAGTCTTAATATTACTAACATAACATAAAAGATGCATTACATTGCATGTTATTGGACCTGCAGTTATAAATCTACTGTTCGGAGGAACATTTCCAGCTAAATTGTGTATTCCAAACAGCCGGATTTCCTTCCCGAGAAGAGCTACAAATCTAAATATATATTTTTAAAAAAGCAAGTCATTCTTTAACTTCCACCCTTGTCTTGCATGTCTTGTTGCTCATTTGTTAAAAACATTTTTTATTTATATTTGAACAAAGATACTAATGGAACATATTCCCGGTCTCAAAGCCTGGCTCTGTACTTGAAAAATTGCAGCGTCAAAAACTAATGACCTGTGGGAAGTACTGCACCAGCCACAAGTTTAATGCTGGCATTGAAATGTTTCCTTGCAATGTAAGCCTGGCTAAGTCATGGAATTTCCTATGAGAAACGTTTAGTTCATGAGCAATCTGGTTGGTTAATGTTTTTCCTACTTCCATTCTGAATGGAAGACATTCTCTCTTATTTTGGTTTGAAAGTTTATGCTCACCCAGCTGATTTGTGCTTGGGAATAGCAGTTCCCCATTAGATGGGCATCAGTACCAGTATCTAGTAGCTCACTTTGTTGGGCACCAATAATGGGTCTGAGCTCTGAACCTCCAAGAGCACTGCCTTTGCACCAGTGTGACATTTTTCAATTCCATATCCTTCCCATATTTAGTTTGGCATTTGGTGCCAGATTATGGCTAGTTTTAAAAAGTATTGATGATAAATTTATTTTGTTAGTATTTGACAAGGCTGCATATTGTAACTGATTGTGATTTTTTGTTTTGTTCTGGATTGTTTCCTTGTGTGATTTATAATAATAATAATCCTTGCATTTGATATGGGTGACCGACTTTCACATGTATTTTTGCATTAACTGGGTTAAGATTATTTCGTACACAAAATTTTTTTAAATACGTGGAAGGTCTGTTCTGAGTCAAAGTGGTTTGTTGATCTATCCACTATAGATGTTTACATTTCTGAATGAAGGTCACATTCAGCACAAACTGTACCAGGTGTTAATCTTATGGTTAAGCAGTTTCCTCTGCTTGACATTTTATAATTTCTGAAATCTATAAAATTAAACTTTTATTGCATTAGCTGGTTAGTTGTGGTACATTCTGTGGCAAGCTGGTGAACATAAGCAATGGCTGTAATAGTTGTCTTGCTGAGCATTAATAAAAGTTGCCTGGCTTGGCTTCAGAAAGTTTTTGCCATGTCTTTATTTTATAATGCCCCTGTCACAACCTCATTAAATGGAAACCGTTCAGTGTTGAAAAGTGAAGGTTACAAAGAATGGATGTTCTGTGCATTCTTCCCAAACAAACCTGATCAGGACATTGGAAATATTACAAAAGCTTCATTTATAACGGATGAGCACAGTTCCACATTAAAAACTGAAGGTCTTTAGGGATATCAGTGATAACTTGCACTACTTACCTTAGGTGAGGATTTTTTAGAGCAAATATTTGTGTCCTGTGTGAATACTAAAATGATTTTGTTAGGTTAGCATGTAAACTACTTACTGTATTAAATTTGGCTGATTTTAGAAAGTTTTCTGATTAATGAAGTGATTGCACATTATTACTGCGTATTAAGTAAATAAATAACTAAGTGTTGCAATACAGGTTATGGTTACTAACTAATTTTTGTTCTTTAAATTAGGTGTAGACATATTAAAGCTTGTGGCCGCTCAGATTGGCAGCCAATGGAAAGACATTTATCAGTTTCTCGCTAATGCAGCTGAACGGGAAGTGGCAGCTTTCTCCAATGGCTATTCAGCAGATCATGAACGAGCATATGCAGCCCTACAGCACTGGACCATCCGAGATCCTGAAGCTAACCTGGCTAAACTGATTAGCGCCCTCCGCCGGTACAAGCGCAATGATGTGGTGGAAAATATCCGAGGACTGATGGAGGATACTTCCCAGGTATGTTGCTAGGAGTGTTTTATTTGCTTCTAAAAGAATAATTACACTTGACAACAATTACTTATAAAACATTTTGATATTTTGTTGTGGTAAAAGTGCTGTAACATTCACTTTCTTTTTAGGCAACGAGCTTTAGTTGATGCGTATGGCCATTACATTTTTTAGTGATGTTTGTATCTTTGTATTTTCAAGAACAACTGGGTTAGCATTGTGTAGTGTATGTGAAACAAATGCATTCAACCGATGAACAAAGGGATCTTTGGACACAAAGTGGGAGAAATTAAGATGACTGAAGGCAAAGCCAAAGAGATGCCTTTGGGAGTTCATTTTAAAAGCCTGGACTGTTTTGGAAGTGACTTTCAATAGCTGACAGTATGGTTGTTGAAGATTTAGCTTCTGATGGTGCAGTTCAAGGAATGATGGATCAGAAGTAAACCAGAATTAGAATGCATAGGACACTGGATGTCATTATTGATAATGAGATTCTGCAATTAAATTATGTGAATAAATTTCCCATAGATGTTTAACAATGCTGATCTTGAAATGGGTGCTGAATGTGTCTTGGTTGCAGGTTGAGTATTTAGTATCTGTTCCAGAATTTCACATGCTTACCATGAACTGACTTTTGCTTTGTCAAAATGCACTACAGCAATGATGTAAAAGATGAACTTGAATTTTATTTACAACAACTTGCATTTATATAGCGCCCTTGTTAAATAAAATGAGTTGCCATAAATTTAAAAAATTGTCAAGTTTTCAAAATTGGGCACATTGAACATCTTATTGAAAAGCTATTAATATGTTTTTAATTTCTCAAATGAAAGGAAGGAAGAGAGGAACACAAGGAATGATGTGAGACTGATTTTTATTCCCCATATGTAAAGGGGCCAATTATCATTGAATATCTCTTATGGAGTTAATTTGGGAATCAGCAATCTAACCATCTTATTGTATGAGAAGTTGTGACTGCACAGTTAGTTTCTGTCCTGAAGCAGATGTTTCAGCAATTGATCTTGTGGCTAAGTTATTTTTAGACAAAACATCAACTCCAGTCTTGATGTTGATGTTTAGTCTGGAAAAAAAAATTCCATCTCGCCATACCACGCAAATCATTGACTGTATGAGTTTGAATGAGAATGTGAGAAAAGCTTACAGGAACCTGATGTGCATGATAGTACAGTAAAGAACATTGTGTGCATTGACCTCAGAGTACAACTTGCATTGAGCCATCTCAACCAAAGAATACTATGCAATGTTCTGCTCAGTTTGTTTTAGCAAGTTAGAGCACTCTGTTACTTCACAGGGTTATGAAGTTGACGCCTAAACTATCAAGAGCTTGCATCTATCCAGTCATTGCTTAGAAATAATTTACTGTGTTGCCACAACACACTAGACTTTAGTTTTATTGGTTTCACTCCAAGTGATCTAAGGACTGCTTTTGCACCACCTGGTGGGTAGTCATACAATGAGACTTGAGGAGGTCGATTGTGGCGATGACACTGTAAGAACATCAAGATCTTTGTTTTAGCTGAAACCAGTTAGGCAAGGGCTAAAGATAATGAGAAACTCCCAGGCATACAATGTGAAATGCATTGAAAGTTGAACCTAGAAAAGATTTACATAAGGTTAGGGGAAAAAAACTATTCCTTTGTTTTCCAACCCAAAAAAACAGGACTTCAGAATGTGCTATGAGATTATCTGTGACATTGGGGTTCACTGTACTATCAGTTGCTTGTTACATTATACAGGGAGATTAGTGGTATTTGCAAAGATAAGCACTGAAACTGATAAACTCAGGTATCTAATGAATTCTCCCACTCTCCTTTTGGATACATAAAGAAGCTCCTTTCTTAATTCCACTACAGTTGGGTCATGAAAGCATAGTTTGAAGAACAGAAAGGGTTTACTGTGTTTGATTAGATTAGCCTTTTTTAGGGTAGTAGCTTGCATTATTTAGCTCTGCAGATATCCATATTCAGAGCTTCTGTGGGAAAACAGAGGTCAGGGTGTTTACAGAGAGAACACAGTGTTGGATTTGTTTTTCCTGTGGTTTCAGATTTGGACTGCTGGAAGCCTGGGAACTTTTTTTGGGTTGTGTCATGGAAGAAGAGAAACATGTTGTAAGAAAGTTTTGCCCACAACCAAAAGTTCAGAACTATGAATGTTTGGAACCTTCAGCGTTTTTTGTTTTCTTTGCAGATTGAGGAAACTAAGAGCAAAATGGGTCACAACATTTTGACATTGAATCATTTTTATGCTGATGTGTTCTAAAATATAAACTTGCAGCGTTTTCCGAAATCGTAATTATGGAATAGTACAGCACAGAAGGAGACCATTCGGCCCATCATGCCTGTGCCGGCTCTTTGGATGAGCTACTCAATCAATCATTCTCACTCACCCGCTCTTTCCCCATATCCTTGCAAACATTTCCGCTTCAAGTACCTATTCAATTCCCTTTTGAAAGTTGTTATTGAATCTGGTTCCACCACCCTTTCAGGCAGTGCATTCCAGACCATATCAACTGTTTATATAAAAAACATTCTCATCTCCCCTCTGGTACTTTTGCCAATTATCTTGATTCCATGTCCCCTGGTTACTGACCCACCTGCCAGTGGAAACAGTTTCTCCCTATCTGCTCTATCAAAACCTCTCATAATTTTGAATACCGCTATTAAATCTTCCCATAACCTTCCAAAGAGAACAATTCCAGCTTCTCTTGTCTCTCGACAAAACTAAAATTACTCATCCCTTGTTCCATTCTGGTAAATTTCTTCTGCACCCTCTCCAAGGCTTTGATATCCTTCCCAAAGGATAGGTGGAGTCCTGTAGCTCAGTGGTTAGAGCGCTCGCCTTGCAAGCGAGTCACCTGGGTTCAATTCCAGGCAGGGCGAAACCTTGGGCAAGTTTCCTTACTGCACACGCCTAATAATAATCCCTCCAAAACAAAAAACAATAATATTTTGGTTATTTTCAATCCAAGACTGTTTGTGGGACACTGCTGTGTGCAATTGGCTGCCGCGTTTTGCCGACAAACATATGGCCAATTCACTTTACACTTTACACTGTGAAGCGCTTTGAGACGTTGAGAAGACGTGAAAAGCGCTATATCAAATGCAAGGATTATTATAGGATTGAACACAGTACTCCAGCTGAGGCCCAACCAGTAATGAGAGAGCACATGAATCATCATAGGTATCTTGCGGAGGAACTTGTTGAACAAAAACAATTACTTTAATCACTTTAACTGCTTTAGATGAAAATTGTTTAGGTAAGATGAAATATTTGAATACTCCCTTTCCATCTCTATTTTCCAATTTTACCAGTCTTTCAGTGTTTCATTATAGATTGGTTTGGACGAAGAAGGCCCTTTGGCCCATTTTATGTCGCCCTTCCAGATACCCATCCTATCGTCAATAATATCAAGCTGTTTTATAAATAAGTCCAGTGTTCTGGACTCTTCTTATGACCCTGTATCAGTTGTTAATTACCCTCAGAGTAAAGAAATATTTTCTGGTGTCTGTCCTGAAATTGGACTTTACAACTCTAAACCAATATCATCTTGTTCCACTGTCTTGGTATATCATAAAATATTGTTCTGGGTTTACTTTTCAATCCCAGAACAATACTTTTAATTACTTTTAATATTTCATATATCTTAGACTTCTTTTATTGAGACTGAAGAGTCATCGCTTATCCATTTGTTATTCATCGGTAATATTCCTCTACCACTGGGCATTATCCTCATTGCTTTCCTCTGCACTGCTGCTTGGGCAGGGCAGCCATTTTATGTTACGGCAACCGGAACTATGATTGGAGCACCATGTAGCTTGAGTCTGATGAAGTCTAAGGACTGAACTGATTTAGCAATATAGCCTAACAACTGTTTGTCTTCGCACTCCTGATTTCTGTACTCTCCTTGAATTAGGGTATCAATGGCTAACAAATGGCCAGAAGCTCATCCTTAGTCAAACAAATGGGTAAAATTCCTATTAGGTGTCTTCATTTTAATACAGTATTAATAGGGGGAAAATTAGCCTTGCTGCAGAGCAGAGTATCCGGTTGTTTGCAGTTTTTATAAGGAGCAAATAAATCTTGTAAGACTTGACTGATCTTCCATTTGTGCAAATTGTGTGCTCAGTGTCCTTGTGCAGCTTTATATATTGTTTATTTATTCTGTATGTTGGATAAAACTGTTTTGAGAGATTTTTACATGTTAACCAAAACATTTGCTTATTTAGCATCTTCCCAGACAATCTTGGCCCTAATGAGGTCAGCATCTTATTTGCCAGCTGTTTGTAGCATGCAATCTGAAGACAGGTTGTTTGCAGGAAGTAGACAAATGTCAAGGACTGAATCACATTTAATTGACAGACAATTGTTTAGAGCTTTCACCACCAGCCAAGGATGGTTTTGCATTTGAACCAAACTGCATATTGAAATAATTAATACTACCACACAAGAGCAGTTACATTTGAGACTGGATCCAGTGTACAAATGAGTGTGCAACACAGCATGTTAATCCCTATTCTTAATGGAATTAGCTATTGGAAAGTGTGCATGTGAATAGAATTCAGCTTGGCTATGATATCCACTGTAGGTCAAAATAGTCTTACTACCTGATGTTTGGATTACTGAGGAATTCGCTCCTAGATGAGGCACATGTGATTTGATAGCACATTTTCGAGTTGTATATATTACTATTAGTTATTGCCTTGGGGAGAGAAGGGGACAGATTATCTTTAGGTATATAGAATCTTAGAATGTTTACAGCAATGAAGGAGGCCATTCAGCCTCTCCTGTTTGGTGGTGCTAGTAATCTCCTTAAAGTCATCTACTTTAATCCCATTCCTTTATTTTTCCACACAAAAAGGCTCCTATAATGCTGCTGTTTTCTCCACCAACCTAGAGAAAGGACACGTGCGATTGTTTTATGTGCATATTGTGGGCTACTGTCTTCCCATGAATTATCATCAAGACTGCTAAATGGAGCAGCTTGAAAT